ATTGCTGCGTCTGTCTCCGCGGCGTCAGCAGCAGTTGCAGATTGCCGGCGTGCGGTATGCTGCGATTCGCAGGCCTGCTCCACTTGCAAAAACGGTCATCTGCATTGATGTCTTGCTCATTGGCTTTATGTACATTCAAGAGCAAGGTCACATGCCCGAAGCCGTTCTAGGGATTCGCTAGTGTTCGCGTCCCGCAGCAGTCATCGGCTCCTAGACTTTCTTGATTTGTGTCAGGAGTGTCACCTGAAAACATGGCTGTGACAGTCAGGACGGTCGCCAGGGGCAACCAAACACGCACATGTATCCATCACTTGTATGCCACCGCCAGGTGCACAACCGTTGGAGTGCTCCAGCGGTAACAGGCGAAACACGCTTGCCGGTGGGCACGCTCTACATTAGAGAGCCGTCACCTGAGGCCTGCCTGCCGCGCTTCGCTGCATGCAAGGCTATCCTTGACCACAATTGTCACAGGTGCGGCGTCCCAGAGTGCCGCCGGCGCTACGAAGTGCTTGCCGCAGGGCCCTTGCGCAGACACACCGCTGTACTTTGTTTTCCTCAGGAACCTCCGGACATGACTCCGCGACGCGACGTCTACCCGCAGCAAGTCCGGCACTCAAGAACCTTACTTCGTTTCAAAACTGCTAGCGACAAAACAAGCTTCTTGCAGGCATGCTGGCTGCAACCGCATGCCACGCCGCGCCGCGTGAAGTTCGCAGAGACTGCGGCGGCTACGTCCTTGAAATATACCATTGTTCTTGTGTAGACAGAAAAAAAACCATAACACCAACTTGCAGGTCCACCTCATTACGCAGGTCAAAAGAGGCGACCAACCGGAGCTCTGGCACCTCGGCTAAAAAAAATTATGAAACGTCCTTGCATGTGCTTGTCCCTGAGTGCACCAAGCATGCTTCATGCAGACGTCCTTGCATGCGCTTGTGCCTCAACTCACCAGGCACACCACCGCCGAGCCGACCGCGTGTGACAACTGCAATGGAGCCATTTTTCCAGGTGGGCGCATGCTGCAGTATGACGACCCGACCCGACCATGCTCCGCACGACACCGGTCCGGGCCTCCTATGCACGCACGCACGCACGCACACACACACACTTGCGATCCATATTGCTGCCCATGTATGACAAGGCTGCTGTGCGATGAGTGCATGACTGCCGAAGAATCCATCATGGCCGGGCTCCAAGTCGTTTCTAGCAATTGCAAAGTAAACGTCCCTGGCTGCCAGGACGTAGAACCATGACCCAGCAGGCGTACCCAGAAACTTGGCAGAAAACACTACTACAAAAGAATACCAGCCACTTGCAAATTTTCTGCTGTTGTTCTTGCACTGGCTGCTGCTGTTGTTGTTGTTGCTGTTGTTGTTGTCGTTCATTCCCGCACACCACGCTGGCCATGTTACGTAGTCTCCATACTCCTTGTTTACACAACAGTAAACCCTGAACCTAAACCCTGAACACTAAACCCAAGCAAACTCCTGCTACGTATTGCTGCGTCTGCCCTGTCAACTAAAAAAACAATCCGGGTAGACAAGCGATGCTCCTGCTACGTAGGCCCTCCTCGGGAATGCGTACGAAAGTACTAGTATTGCCTCGTAAACCTGTTCCTGCTTGCTCTTGTTGCTGCTGCTGCTCCTACTCCTGCAGTTGCTGCTGCAACTGCTACTCGACTGTCCCTGAACCCTACACCCTAAACCCTAAACCCTAAACTCTACGCCATCTTACGCCCTTGTTGCAGTTGTCGTGTCGTTGTTGTTGTTGTTGTTGCTATTGTTGCTGCTGCTGCTGCTGCTGCTGCTGCTGCTGCTGCTCAAAACGTACAGACTACTTCACCCCCCCAGCTTGTGCATCACTACCAAAACACTGCACACCTACGACCTGCAACTGCAAAGTTGTTTGACTGTGCTGTTAACAACCTCAGAACACTAGGCTTTGCACGCGGCGGCAAACAACACACAACTCCATCTAACACCTGCCTCCTAGACAAATTCGCCGTGTCCCGTCAGCCCGTCCTCGAAACCAGCAAAAACAAACTTGCAGGACGCCAACTTCCTCACTGCAAACTTCGCGACGATGTATCTTCAAACACAACAGTGCCGAACTCAGCCGCCTGTAATGTTTCTTCAGTTCTTGCTCCTGCTCCTGCTGTTGCTGTCCTTGTTGCTGCGGCTGATATTCCTCGCCTCCCCACGCCGGCGTGAGTACACTGAATGTCTACAACCGTACCTGCGAGGACGCGAAGCTCATCAAATCTTGCTGTTGTGCTGTTACTGTCCTCGTTGTCCTTCTAGTCCTTGTTGTCCTTGCTGCCCTTCTTCTTCTTCTTGTGCTTGTTCTTGCTGATGCTGTTATCGCTGCTGCTGTTGCTGCTCGCCTGCTGCCCTGCTGCTGTCTCTATTGTTGCAATTGTTCTTGTTGCTGTTGCTATATGTTACTTGTACCGGTATGTACAGTTCCTCCCACATGAAAACACAGACACCCTAACGCCGAAACACTGTGCCTATTGTTGCGGTTGTCCTTGTTGCTGTTGCAATATGTCCCTTATACCGGTAAGTAAAGTTCCGTCCACATAACAGCACAGACACTCTAGCGCTGAAGCACTCCTTGTCATGAACAATGCCTTGCCTGTCGCCGCCGAGCTCAACAGGTCGCCGGCTGCCTGCCAGGCGCCGTACAACACTAGCAACTCGATTTCCATCAAGCCTCCACACGAAACCGCTCCAGACTCTACACAGCCTCTGTACAAATACAACATGCACCTGCCATCATCTTGACTTTGCTCTTCCCCCGGCCATGCCCACGGCAGCAAACGCCATTCAGGTCGCTGCCGCCTGGAAGGCCTGGAAGAACAAGCTGCAAAAAAACAACCGCAGGAGAGCACCGTCCGATGACCTGGAGTCCTTCTTGAGCGCATGCGGACCGACTTTCGCTAATGCAACATCCTTCCAACGTGCTGCAAGAAGAGCCGAGGAGCGACTGCTGCTCGACAAACTCAGACGAAAACACAGTCAACGCAGCCCCCGAACCGATGACTGGAGACCACTTGCCGTGAAGGACGCCGCAGTTCTCCATGCTGAGTCACCTGATTTTCCCGGGAGGCACAAATCTACGTTTCCGAGGCCTGCATGCATCTATGTCCTCGGTGCTGCGACGACGATCCCGGAAACTTTCCTTGGCAAGCTTGCCAACCAACTTTGGCACAACTCCGACAGTAAAGGACTACCTGGGTACACACGCTACTTTCGTGCAGCTGCTCTCACTGCTCCAACTGCACTTACTGATGCCAGCTGCCGAACTTGACTTCTGGAACCACCGCACCAAGAACTGGTTTCCAGAAGCTTTCTACCTGTTCGCTGTACTGCGCTCCTCGGACTTCGTTTCATGGTGCGGTCAATTCACAGCACTATTTGGAAACACGTCCCGCCAGGAATTCGAGTCCGCCTTCGTGAAGACTTATACTGTGGAGCTGGGACGCAACTCAATCCTGACTACAGAACTGCAATGCCTTGCAGCACGTGACACCGATCATGCAGTGCGCAACAAGAAGCTCTTGGTGGCAACCGACGGAAACAGTTTCCAACAATGGCGACACTGCTTCACGCACCTGCTCCAAACCGGCCTCACATCCGCTAACCTTGCAGCCTACGCCCGCACTTACAAAGCAATCGAAGGTGCCGGCGACTTCGTCGCCAACAACCTCATTGAGTTCCTGCAAACATGCCCCAACTTGACAGGCCGGGAACTGCTGTTCTCTGATGCAGCGCCTGTCTTTCTGGGCAACAATTCCCGCACCTTCGTCTCGCGCCTGGCTGGAGGAACCGCAACAGAGAATGTAGCCAAGATCTCAACTCAGGCCCGACATCTACTACCCAGCCACTTCGACGTTGCTGCTGGCCGCGACGGCACATGGACACGGGTGACACTTCCCGCACATCCTCAGGACCGTACAACTCAACACCTGCAAACTTGTGGAGGTGCTGGAAGCACTCGACACAGGCGTGTTGCGCAAGCCACGACGCGTTCGTGCCGAGCCTGTGCAATTCAACTTCGCACAGCTCACGTGCTGCCCGCCGAAGCCTTGAAACGAGAATGACTGCCTCCTCCAACATGCTACATGCGAAAGACGCATCCTGCTGTGCTACGCTCTCGTACGCATCCTGCACCTGTAGAAGTTCCTCAACAACACCCCCGGCTCAGGTTCATGCTTGCCGCCGCTGCCTGCCGCGGCAAGGGTCGATCAAAGGCACCGCTGCAACTAGTGCCCGCCATGAAGCCCTCATTTCTACCACTACGCCCTGCAGCCGCGGCAAACGCTGAAAAAATCAAACATTGCGACTACGCGTGCCTCTGCACCCACCTAAGACACAGCTCCTTGCTGCCCGACTTGCTTTAAGTTACGTACTTCACGATTTCAGTCCTCAGCTTCCGCGGTAACAATCACATGACTCTCGCGAACCTCGCTGCTGCAGGACCTCCTGCATCTCCTGCGTGGCCGCCGCCAGACCCGCTTGCGAAAAGAAGACCGAGCTTTCGTTCTCCATGCCCCTGGCCCTCAAGTACTTCACAACAGGGTATTTCATAAACCACTTCCACATTTGAAGTTTCAGTGCCCTGCGCTTGTGCTTTCTCTGTCTGGTTCTGTGTCACAGTGTGCTCGAGAGCTCAGCCTGTACACAAAATGCGATTTTTTTCAAACTTATGCCAACTGCGCGGTGATCGCTAGGATATTTCGCGACATCGCCATAGAGAGACCTATCCAACCCCAAAGCAGGGTGAGTCCACTTTCATGCAGGAGCAAGTGTGGTTGGCTTCGTCGGACTGCCCCGGGTGGGCTAGAAGCCAGCGATCAAAGCGCTCGTGACGACAGACGCAGAATTGAAAAGAGAAGCATCTCGTGTCGTCTGGGGATGTAGCAGAAGACCGGAAGGTCTCAACAGGCGTTCCTAGCACTTGCAGCTCGTGCTAGCAAAAGTGCTTCGGTCCCATCCTTCACGCAGCGAGGATGGATCTTTGCACAGCAAGTCCTTCGCCCACACAGACAAGGGCATGTGACCTCCGTCACTTGCAAGGGTAGGCCTGTGTGCACATGTAAGCCTGCTGTTTCGCCAGCTTGAGCGGCTTCGATAGGTATTTTATGGGAATGACCTTCATGAACTTCAAGTCTGTTCGGAAACTCAGATTCGCCTCTGATCCATTCTCTGCATGTCCATTGAGATGACAGGGCCCGGTGAACCAGCCCTGGATCGAGATCCGGCCATCGCCCCAGAAATAGAAAGCTCGCAGAGGCAGAGGGCTATTGGCTGCACAGGCATCCAGGCAAGCTTCGTTGGTCGCAGGGCTGCGCAGTTCTCCGACTAAAGGCGACGACTGCTGGGAGGATTGCAATAGAGACCGTGCGCACATGACACCTTTTTGGCCATGTCGCTGCGCATCGCTGTATCGCAATGACGTTGCATGCAACATCTGCTTCCGGCTTGGGCTTGCAGGTCACTCTGCCAGAGACCATCAAGGCGGCCCAAGACGTTGACGCCCGCGCCTCGCTATGTCACTCTCATCCAAATTTGCAAGTGCAGCCGAAACTGCCGCTGTTAATCTTGCCCAAGCCGCTGTGCATCCGAATGCAGTCGTGCATCAGATCACTGTAAAATCTCGTGCCGTAACCAGCTGCTTCCAGTTCCGCGTTGAAACCTGGCATAGCTTGCCGTGACGTCATCTCGTAGTTCGAGCATGGCCGCCGTGTTCCAGCCTTAGATATGAACTTGCGAGATTTCAGGGAGAGTTTGTTTTTCCAAGCTTCGTATCTTCGCGTGTGTGCTTCAGGCGGATACTCCGGATCTACAACCACGTTCTCGGAGGTACCAGTCGCGCACTGGCCTGTGCATGCAGCCCCTTGTCAAAGCAGTACCCCAACCTCTGGATATCAAGTTAAAGTTAAAGGAACATGAAGGACATGGAATGAGTACTCTTTGTAGTCGTTGCGGCCATCCACCCATGACAAGACACGCCATCAGGCATCAAGTGCAGTGTGTCAAGGTGGCGGTGCCTCTTCGAGTCAAAGCCTTCTTCGAGCTGCAAAGGAGGGCAGCGTGCGAGGTTGTGAAGATGCCCTCGCGAGCGGCGCAGATGTGAACTGGAAGGATGAGGCCAGGGGCCCAAACAACTGCAACGGTCAACTGTTCGCTTAAATCACCTTATAGCTCTGTGCGGAGCTTGCTGGATTTGTCGTTTACCAATGCACCTAAGTATAATAAACAATAATAGGATTGACCCAGGTCAAAACCTATTCTCCAACATCTTGTCTAGGACCTCAGTTGGTCCTTTCACCACACTTAAACCGGGGGGAAGCGGGGTGCCTCACCGCCACCACGCGAACGATTGATTCAGAGAGTCTTTCAAAGGAATTGCCGAAATACGATTGCGCAGTTTGTTGGTTGATGTTGCTTGACTTCTGTGCGTCGTGTACATTCACGCAGGTTTTGCTCGTCGACCTTGTGGTCGAATGGGCAGGATTCTATTCTGCAAGTGCAACTGCTGTTTACACAAGTTTAGGGTGTCGGTCTAGCAGATTCAAGCTCGACGACACTTCCATCTGTTTTTACATAGCCGAGAGCGTCTACATACTTGGCTTTCAAGCGCACACGCAGCTGCAGGTTGCGACTTTTGGGGCGTCCAGGGGTGCATGGGGTGCATTGGCATTTTCCGGCCGGCGCATGCCAACCAGTTTGCTGCGTCGTTTACATGTGAAACTGTGGGCTGTCAGCGGTTAGCAAAAACCCTGGATTGCTACGACCTTTTTGAGCACCCACTAGGAGGTAAAAAGCTGGTTGGCATGTGCCGGCCTGCAAATGCCAGTGCACCCAAGAAGAAGTTTTGCAGTTCTGCATAGTTATTCCAAACCTCGAGTGATTCGCGGTGCTCTGCTGCAATAGATTCGCTTGCCGAGTCGTCCCCTCAGCCTGCTGCGCTTCCTTCCCCTAGCTTTGGTGGCCCTGGTCTCAAGTGGATTTTTCGCTGGAAAACCGTTATCGCTTATCACGGTTCTGACAGGACTTCTTCGACTACACGGCCTTGCATTTGGCCGCGGCCGCGGGTCACGTTGAAGTTTGTCGCCTTCTGTTGAAGCGCGGGGCTGTGCCCTGGCTGGCAAGGAAACCTCAAATGAGAGTGGTCTGAAGTTGATTGTGCTAAGGAAGTCGACCCTCGGTCGACCAGTGGCGAGACACCGCTGATCATGGCAGCTCGAGCACAGAAGTCTCTGGAGCTTTGCGATTTCCTGGTCAGTGAGGGAGCTGACTTGGAGGCCTTCTGTTGCCTCCTGTCTTTGGTTTGTGATCGGGGGACCTGACAAGGCCAAGACGAACTACAAGAAGAACCCCAGGAGATTGTGGCATCACAAGCTCGAAGCGTCGGCGCCCGAGTCCAATCCAGGAGCGCAAAAGACTATCTGGACGAGTACTACAAGGAGATGGGGGCACCCATCAACTGCGGGCTAGGCAATTCATGAGAATGCGAGATTTCAAAGCAAATCTCGGCAGCTTTGCGCACAACGGAAAAGGGGAAAGAAGGAATTCAGATCGGTGTTGCAAGTCACAACTCGGAAACCTGGCTGGCAAGGTGGAGCTCACTGCCAGCAGCCTTCGAATAGGCTTGGACATCACGTGCAAGTGTCTCCTGCTAAGCTCGGTCCTCTGCAGGCACGGTCGGGGACGCAGATCCGATCATTGATGGCACCTTTGAGCGAAAGGCCGGCCAGCAGATCCTAAGCGTCGAGCTTTCGAGGGAGTGCTTCAGGTGGATCCAAACGGTGAAAACTACTCCTGGAACCGCTCTCAGAAGTACAAAGCCGCTAGGAGAGCCCTTGCCTACCTGAAATGATGAGCAATGACTCAGGTTTCTGATCCCAGAAGAGATTCCACCCGTGATGGAGCTAACGCTAGACAAGGTGCCTTTTGAGGGTGTCTTGTGTCAAGTCAACAGCCGCAGTCAATGGTTTTCTCCGGAGCCGTTTCCGGGTACTTTTACTGTATCAAACCTGCGAAGCCCTCTTCTGAGGGTGGCCCAGTCTGAGAGTTGGCCTGCGCCCAATGGCAGGATGCCGCTGAAGTCTACCAAACTTTCAGCTATGGAACGCTGCTTTGGCCGCGACTGTTCAACGACGACATTCCATTAGGCACAGCCCCGTTGCGCCAGTTGCCAGTTACTCTTTGAGCAAAGCCCACAGGAGAAGGTTTGTTCGAGGCGGATTTGACGGACATGCCGGCTTCTGAGTCATGCAAGCAAGGGATTCTCTATTGCCCGTTTTCTGAACTTCAAGAGCCCAGGCCTCCGCACTTGCTTCAGAAATTTCAGGAAGAGCAGGCTGCAGACACCAAGCTCTCCTGGCTTCAGCCACTGCAGACAGTGTTGCACTCATGGCAGGAGAGATCGGACCAGAGATCACGACAGGAAAGGCAACGCAGGCAGATGATGACAGAGGCGCGGCTTTCCTGCCACGTCTGCATTGCTCATGTGACTGTCCTTGAGTCCTTGAGTCCAGGAGGAGGTCGCCGAAGAGACTGCCAGGCCAGCGGTTAAGAGATGTTAGGCCATTCGGTGATTGTCGTCCTGGCCACAGCCAGGATGTGGAACGATGAGTTTGCCAGACACGGCATTCCGCATCGCGTGGATTCGACCGAGGACGAAGTCATAAATCTATCGTAGTCTATCCATGGCGAAGCTTGCTTAGCCGGGATTTCTTCTGAATTACTTGCAGGATCGGCGGCTCGAAAACTTCCAGAAGTGACAAAAGAAAAAGCCATCCGCCGTCAACGTGGAGCTGCCAAAGCTGCAGACCAGCGCTGCACCTTGAGTCCGGAGGCAAAGCGCACCGAGGAGTCCGCGAGTCCGTAGCCCCAGAGCCGGACGCACTCGTAGAAGGGAGGAAAACTACCTGGCCGGCCCGGCCAGTATGTCAGTTTAGCGCAAGCTTTGCAAAGAAAAGCAAAAAGCGTGTTTTTGATTTGGGGCTCTGGTTCTTCGCTTCCCCGAATTGTGCTCTGGCCAGATGGGGATTGCTGCCATTGCTCCAGAAGTGTGTTTTTTATGCAGGGACCCTCTGCAGGCAGAACGGTGAGAAGAGTTTGGGGGTCAGAGAGCTTAGCCAGGGCTCGTGTGTTGATCGCGAGTCTGCTAAGTTACGAGGCCTCGGTGTTGCCATGTTGCCAGTTCCCTGCTCGAAGAGGTACATCAGCACGGCACAGCCGGGTCGAGCGACTTGTGCAAGACAGGTAAAACGAAGCGTTATTTGGCTCCCGTGCTGTGAAATAGACGAGCGTGTCTTTTCGGAGTCAGAGGGGTGGTTACATTCCACACTCTTGTACCTGCCTAAACAGATGAAGTGCATGCTAGTGAAGCTTTAATTGGAGAAATTTCCGGTTGCGAGCTTGTAATCCGGAAGCAGTCAGCAAGCCATGGGTTGTTTGCTAGCTGCTAGAGTGGAGTGTTAGCGTGTTGCGGCAAACACGCGGCACAGGTCTGGTTATGTCATTCAGATGAGCCGAACCCTTCAGGTCTATGCCGACTGCAGACCCATACCTGGTTTTGGTCTTCGGGTAGCCTGTACATGCCCATACTAGCCCCACAGCCTACGAACCTTTACTTTTACAGAGGAGTCGGCAATGGTGAGTGTTGCCTGGAGTTGAACACATGGGATGTGCCATGGAGCTCTGCTTGCAGCAGCGGTTGCGGCGATCAAGCCCTCGAGGTTCACTCTGCCCAAGGCGCGATCTGGGAAGCTTAGCTACCGAGTCGAGACTCTTCGATGCTTGACGCTCCGAGCATTCGCGCTCCAGGCCGCTGCAAAGATGCAGCGGGTGCGATCGCTGGCCTCGGCACGCGAGAAGAAAAATCATCCGAAGGCCGCGCGGGCTTCGGCGAAGTTCGACTTCGCAGCGGTGTCCTGGTCTCCCGGCACGGCGCCGATGGCGCACAGCCCAGACCCAGGTCGGGTGTCGCGCTCCATTGCAGGCTAGTACCCAAGCAGTGCAGTGCTAAAGGGAGCACGAGCCCCAGCTGGCGTATCGGGGAAAAGTAAGGACTCGCGGTCAAACCCACTCCGAATGCTCTCGCAGAGGCATGCCGGGTCTCTTGAGTTGGCTGTTGCTCAGCAGGTTCGGAGAGCACACCGAGCGGTGCCGAAAGCCCAGTGAGGAGAAAAAGATTTCTTGCGGAGCACTCAGTGAATCCTGGAGAGTCAGAGCTGAGCCAGAGCTGCCAGGGAGCGTCTTTGTTTCGATGCTGCAGGTATCAGAACAGGAAATCTCCTTCTCGGTTGTTATCGCTGGGCTTGCGAGGCAACTTTCGCCCGCTTGTGATCATATGCGCTTTTGGCTGCCGTAGTAGGGGTCTTCAGGCAAGGGCGGCCGTATGCCGCGGCAAATTTCCTGGAGGTGGGAAGTGATGTGCAAGAACAAGAGCAATGCTGGTAATTTAATTACACTCAAGCCAGATTAATGTGGGACTTGAGCTTTGAACCACAGGCCATGGTGACGAATGGCCTGTCGCCAAATGTGGTTGTCTTCAACGGTGCGCGCAGAAGCTGTTGCAGTCAACCACCTCCTGCCCGCCTTTCCGCCTCTCGATGTCAGCTGTCATTGCGGCGTTCGCTGGACATGCGGATGTGCCTGAAGCAGTGAATTGGTTCCGTGGGCAGCCTAATTGTTTGAGTCTTCCCTCTCTTTGCCGTCTGCCTGTCGGCGTTCTTGCGTCGCAAGGAAAGATGGAAGACCAGGCGGGGTGCTTGTATTCTGGATCGTGCTCTTGTGAAGGACCCGTTCAGCTCAGAATCCTGAAAGCACGGCGCCAAGGGCTTGAAGCCAAACGTCATGACACTTACCGCCGTCATCGATGCTTGTGCCAAGGCCGGGTCAAGACGTGCTGCAAATCTGGTCTTTGTTCTGTCCTGCGAGTCAACATAAGGCTGGTAAAGCAGATGAGGCGGTGAGGCCTGCAACATCCTGCGGCTTCAGCTCAAGTCTTGGCTTGAGAGTGCAGGTGGCTCCACGAAATCGAGGAGAGGGGTTTGCAGCCCAACCGGGTGCGCTTTCCAGCTTTCACCGTGGCATTGTCTAAGAGTACTTCTCAGACTCCGAAGCCAGTGATGACGGAAGACTTCGATCACAGTTAGCAGCAAGGGCGAGGGCCGATCCGTGCGTTGAGATTCTGGCGAGGTATCCTACAACGCCGTCATCAACGCCTTCGCAAGGCACACCTGGCCAGCCTGCAGTCCAGAGATGTCCTGCGATGTCCTGCAGTCATTGCAGTCCGGTTTGAGAACCAAAGTCATGTAAGTCATATGAGAGCTGGGTTGTCCGCAGGCGAGGTGACGTCTCTGGTGCCGTGAACTGGCTGGAGCGGATGCAGCCTGCAGTGGAGCCCGACACGGCGGGATGTGAGGGCCACCTTGTCGGTGACATCTGCACATCTGCAGATGCAGGTCTCGTACAACTCAGTGCTTCACAGCTGCGCCCTCTCCAAGGATCCCAGTGCGGGTGAGGTCGGAGCATGACCCCTTCTCCTGCCAAGTTTGGCCCCGGGCTCCGGGGCTGGGAAGGTGGCTGAGAGCATCTTCAGGCGCATGAGGCCGTGCGAACTTCATGGCCTCGCTTCCTTCACAGCATGGCAAATCCCGAAATCCCGGCCAGGTTGAACAACATGTGGCCGACGTCCGCAACGCTGAATGCTCTCGCACGCGCTGTTGGCACAGATCGCAGGACCGTGCAGAAGCGGCACAGGCGACTTCTTTATTCATGGATCATGCAAAATGTGTACAGGCTGGACCGGGGTGCTTTGGTCATTGATTCCAGGGCCAAACTCGACCTGCCAAGCAAAGGTCACTCGAAGCGGTGCCGCTTTGAAGCGTATTGGACTGTGAAGGTAGTGCAGTGCAAATCTCGAATGCTAGACTTGTTCATTGGCAAAGCTTACCTTTGTCTTGGATTTGTGGCACTCTGACTATAGATGACTATAGATTCTATAGATCATAGTATTGCGGCATGGTGGCCCTAAGCTAAAGTTCGATTTAAACCGGACTTTCGCCTCAATCTAGAAAACGCTTTCAGGTCGCGTGACCCGGAGATTGCTGAGTTTAAACACCCAGAAGCGAACCAAACACGACTCGGGTGTCTGCTTTCTCCAAAACCTCATCTGTGGATGCTTCCCATAAAGCTCGTGTTGCGAGTTCCCAGGCACCGCATGGTGCCAGGTCATGACATTCTTGCTTGGGAGGTTCGTAGTAAAACCTGAAACTGAGATGTTCGAGCAGCAACTGCGCCGCGAGAGGTAAGCAACTGCAGACAGCATTCGGAGTAGCGCACGATGCAGCAATGATTTCAATGGATCACTAAGCTTCCAAGCCAGGAATATCCTTTGTGCAGAGCTGGGCGTTGACGTGGAGGCATCGTTGATGCGATCATTTTGCTCAGTTCGTCAAGACCGTGGCTTAGGGAATCGATCCCGACTGAGGCAGTACGAAGCCAACGCGACAAGCATCGCACGGCCAGCTCCTCAGGGTGCTGTCTTGCGTTGTCTCGCAGATCTCGTTGACCTCGTAGAGGACAGCTGCGGGCCTGGAAGAGACCGTGTGTTAATGGCATCATCTGTCATCGCATGTGACAGGTCAGGCCTCTTGCTGATCTTGCTCGTCTCAAAGACCGGCAGTAGGAAAGCGCCCGGCCTCTTTGACCTTCACTGCAAAAGACCGCTGCAATTTGTTGTCGCTGGACTTATGCCTTGAAGCACCAGGCTTCGTCTTCATATCCCACCAGCAGACGTGACCTGATTTCAGCAGCAGCTAAATGCAAAGATGATCAGCATTGTTGACCATATGCCTTACATGCCAAATACTAATCTCCCCCGGAAAAACGTCAGTGTTGTCTCACGGTAGAAGCAGCAGCTTTCCCTGTCATGACTGGTTTGGTTGCTCGTTTGCGCGTGTCTCGTGTTGTCCACCGATGAGCTAGATCACAAACGCTCAATTCATCAAATGGTCCTCGGACTTCCGTCACCATGGGGGTTGCCACTTCGAATCTACCAGGCAATATTCTGCCTTGCTCTGCAGCTTGGCGTAGCATACCACCTTCGACCTGGCTTGTGGCAGGGCCATGGTTCTTCCCAGACAGCGTGCAGATTGTGGTTGTGCCCGGTGCTTTCAACCTGCTGTGACATGCATCACTCGACAGCAAGGCACGAGTCAAGCTCACTGTCAGGTTAAATGATGCACGCAACATCGCACTACTGCAGGGCGAGGCAGACACCCCTTGAGGGCTGTAGCTCGAGATCGTGTGCTTCACTGGGGCACTTTCACAGACTTATTGCAAGTCGTGGAGGAGCTTAGTGCCCTCATCCAAGTTGAGCCTGACGACCAGCTGTATCACTTGACGAGGCAGCAAGACTTGCCTTCACATGAGGGCAGAAGCTTTAGGACTTGCTGCTCCAGTCCAGGGAAAGCCCGGCAAGTTTGTAAAGGGCCCAGTGGGTACCGGCGATGATCCGCTTTCTGCTCGAAGCGCAATCTAACTTTCTCAGGTCAGTGAGGCCGAATACGATCTTGGTGGTGAAATTCCACGCCATTGTGCAGGGCTTGCAGGAGCCTGACTACCGAGAACATCCACCTGTTCATCTCAAGCACTGCCAAGAAGCATCCCACCAAGTTTACGCGTGCTTCCAGGACACAGCAAGATGCCTAGGCGATGTCGTGCTACCTCTGAACCACGTTGCCCGCGTGCACGGAGCCGAGTGGAGGCAAAGCAGCTCCATTTCCAGCGGCATCTGCAAAGAGTCAGGTGCGCGGGAAGTCTGTACCAAGTGTGGCTGCCGTTGCAGCCTGCTTTGTGACGGCCTCAAGGTATTGGCACGTTAAGCCCTGGGAGTCAGGTCAGCATTGCTGGAACCCGATTGACTGAGCAATACTGAGCAACAGTTCTCTGTGGAGGTCGTGTGTGCAGGAGGAGGACTACGTCGACAACTTTGACAAGGCCGCCTCGGTGACAGTCTGATCAGAGATTCCCATGCTGCATAGCCCAGAAAGGCCTACCCACATCGTGACGGATCCGACTGGACGCCATTTTAGAAAGAGTGCTTCTTGCCTCAGGCTGTGTGGAAGGCAGCAAGAGATCCTCGAAAGCCAATGGCCCGCTTCCTCCAGATGTGCTTTTCTGTTTGCTCTCCGCCGTTGCCCTCTGAATCTGATGTGTTGCAGGTGTGTCTCAGCCTCTACGCTGGAAGCATTCCACAAGCCGGCTACGCAGTTTTGTAACTGCTGGTAAACCCCGCCTTGGATCTTGAGTCTTTCTTGACGCCAGGCTAGCAAAGACTATTTGTTCAATGCTTCAGCCAGCGAAAAGGCCTGTCATGTTGAAATGTCCGAAAACTTGCAAGATGATCAATGCCGTGTCTCGAGACTGCCGCTTCAAGCATCGAAATCTGGAACAGCGCTTCGTAGAAATAGTCGGATGCCCTCGCTCCGCAACAAACCGGCAGCTTTTAAGTGGGCATTTCTGAGGAGACGAGCGAATACTAATCTTTGAAGTTGGTCGCATCTTTACAAGAATTTCGGCTCGCCGCCACAAGATTCCGCCGAATTCGGCGAGAATCTGTCAAAAGCTGAGGCCGTGGTCTTGGCGCACTTTTGGTTTGTCGTTCGCCAAAGAAGTGCCTCTGTGCCATCTCTATGCCCATCCGAGATGAACCTCGACAATAACGGATAAGAGTGCCAATGCCACACTGTGCAGATTGCAAGTCGGTGTTGCTGATCCTTGGAAGTTGGGCAACAGTCTATTATATAGTAACAATAATAGTAATCATATGATACACTCTACATCTATATAATAATAAGAAGACGAAAATAATAGTAGTAACAATAATAATAACAATAATATTAACAATATAGACTCTCTCTATATATATATATATGTGGATATATATATATATGTATATATATATAGAGTAATAACAATATACTACAGTGTCGTAAAGAGCTGAGGGCTGCTGGAGCAGCATCGGTTTGATGAAAAGGGAAACAGAAAGCGAACTTGTGCGGCGAGCCAAAACATGATCTCTGTAGTCTGTTGTCATTCTTGACAAATGTCGACTTTCCAAGAAGGTCTTAGTTGGTGTCGGATTGCTTGCAGGCAGACCGCTTTCTTGGACTGCTGCAGCTTGAGCCTTGAGAAACTCATGCCGAGCTGTTTGTTGCCAGTGACAACCGTGGAGGTCTCACACGCAGCACATGCGGCTGCTGCAGGCATCGGATCGCGTTGGGAGATGTGTGCTGGCATGAAGCGCAAATGTAAGGCTTTGTACAGAGAAGTCCGCAGCAACCAGGCTGGCCGGAAAGAGTAAGATTCCAAAAGCCTGAACATGGACTCATGTCAATGTGCCTCTTGAGGCAGCCCAGCTTGCGACAGCCTCGGCTGACCCTACAAAGCTGCTCGCAAGATGAGCTGTCTGAAATCTGAGGACTTGTCTCGCTCGAAAGATGGGCTGGCAGACTCCTGGCCCTCGGAGCTGAGATCTCAGTCGGGCGTCTTTAGACCTCTAGAATGTCTTAAGCTGCGAAATCAGGTTTCGGCGAGTTGAGGCGAACTTGGGGCAGGCAGCGTGCCGTGTCTTTCTTGCTCTCGCTATTCCTGAATGCTAGCGGTCTCGCTGAGGCCGCTCCTGAACCGTCCGGACCAGCCGAGGTGAGCGCCCTTTTCGCGAAATGTTTCCTTACAAGTCCCTGCAGCTCTTTGTCATGCGCTTCGCTGTGTTGCTGGCAAGGCACGCGGGGACGGCGAAGACGCCAGGCGCTTATCGCTGCAGAGATTTTCGACAGAACCGGATGTTGCCGCATTCTAATTTTAGGATAATCCGTGGGTATAGTCATCCAGAGACACCGCAATAGCTCCCTTTCCAGACAGTCTCTCGCACAGGGGCACAAGCGCCGGGATGGACTTTTGTTGCAGCAGGGCGACCTGCTGTCTGAAGACATAGTGGCATGGCTGAGGTAGCCCGCGACGAGACCAAGGAGACTTGGGTCCCTTTGTGCGGTTCAGCTCGGTCTCGCTGCATGAATCTCAGCGATGCAGCCGCCTACATCGCCTTGCGCTGCGCCTGTGGCGTTTTGTTGCTGTTGCTGTTGCTGTGGCTGTGGCTGTGGCTGTGGCTGTGGCTGTTGCTGTTGCTGTTGCTGTTGCTGTTGTTGTTGTTGTTGCTGTTGCTGTTGCTGTTGGTGTTGGTGTTGCTGTTGCT